GTAACGACAAGGAGAATTTGTTTAATAATCGAGAGCAGTAGTAGGCGATCATTTCCCATTTCATACAGCCGTTGTTAAAACAACTATAACCCTCCAAACTTTAACTGCGATCCACAAACTTTCAATTATAACCCACCTTACAACAGACAGCCGTCCAGCTGCACTGTCAATCATTTGCCACGGCAATGTGGAATCAAACATTGCATTTCTAAAGACCCTGGTCGACAATGTTAAGGGCTCCAAGTTAGCAGTTGTGTAGTACAAAACCTGAAATACAAACAGTGGAGACCATCGTCAACATTTCTTCTTTAATTTCACTCACAATGGCATCAAAATACAGGTTGGGTGAAAGAAATATAGGCTACGCTCTGTTCACTGACAGAGGAAACAGTTTTCAGTAGGGTGAAATTTACGACATCACTGCATGAGGGCAGTTTTTTCTTTCATTTTAAACAAAAGCACAAACTAAATAACAGAGATACAATGTATGCCAAGCTTGGTTCTAAAAGGAATTCGAATTGTCTCAAGCTAATTTTTGTGAAGTTTTAAAGATCCAACATGAAAATCAATATAACTTTTTAGCCTCGACCATTACAGTGTAATTACTTTTTACGATAATTAAGTCCAAATTTAAGTAAACGAAATTTACCATGTCCTCCAACACAAACAACTTAGCTTTGAAGATCATAAATTATAAAAAACACTTAAGGGCCTTGATTCTCCACCTGTATGACTGAATCAGTTCAAAAGACAATAAGGGAGCTCGTAAATTCTGTAACCCCAGGCACCAGTTGTTCACAGGGTGGATAAGGCTTTCCCCTGCATAAATCTTTATCCTGTGGATAGCACATTACACTTTATTAACACTTAACCGCTGGATAACGATGTATCTGATGAATAGCGCTATCCACCCCTCAGACCAAACGGACCTAGGTGTACCACCTTATGGGCACCACAGCATAACCAACAATTTATTGCCTAATGTTTATATGAGTGTATATACGCCTGTGTTTGTCTGGCTGTCAGCAATAGCCAGATGTAAGGTGCAAAGGATTAAACAAATGAAACATTACGTGATAGTGCTCTCACCTCGTTAATGTTCTTCCAGAACTTGCTGTACTGATTACCAATGTAAAACTGTGTATTGGGATCGTTGATACCAAAAGACCCCT